ACGAAATATATTTCTTAATAAGACTTGAAAGTTGAAATGAGTACTCAATCCATGGGCTGCAGGGTGGATGTTTTGTTAGCAGGCTTGAAAACAGCATTCATGTCATTGTACATCTCCATCAGAGCTCTTGGGTGACCAGGTGCCTTGTCAGTGAGCGGTAATATTTCAAAAGGAATCTTTTTTTCTGAGCAGGAGGTCTCAACAGTGGGCTTAAATATTCAGCAAACCATGCTGTAAACAGATGTGCTGTCATCCAGGCTTTGTTCCATTTACAGAGCCCAGGCAGAGTAGATTTAGCAGAATTCTTAAGGGCCTAGGATTTTCAGAATAGTATATGAACACTGTTTCAACTTAGTCACCAGCTGCATTAGCCCCGAGCAAGAGAGTCAGCCTGTCCTTTGAAGTTTGAAGCCAGACATTGACTTCTCCTCTCTAGCTCTGAAGGTCCTAGAAGGCATCTTCTTCTAATAGAAGGCTGTTTCGTCTTCATTGAAAATCCGTTGTTTAGTGGAGCCACCTTCATGAATGATCTTAGCTGGATCTTCTGGAGAACTTGCTGCAGCTTCTACATCAGGACCTGCTGCTTCACCTTGCAGTTTTGTTATGGAGATGGCTTCATTCCTTAAACGTCATGAAGCAACCCCTGCTAGCTTCCAACTTTCAGCCCTCATAGAATTGAAGAGAGTTAGGGCCTTGCTCTGGATGAGGCTTTGGCTTAAGGGAATGTTGTGGCTGGTTTGATCTTCTGTCCAGACCACTGAAACTTTCTCCGTATCAGCAATAAGGCTGTTGTGCTTATCTTTTGTGTGTTCACTTCAGTAGCACTTTTAATTTCCTTCAGGAACTTTTCCTTTGCATTCACAGCTTGGCTATTTGGCATGAGAAGCCTAGCTTTGGCCTGTCTCAGCTTTTGACAGGTCTTTCTCCCTCATCTCTAGCTTTTGATTTAAAGTGAGAGACATGTAACTCTTCCTTTCACTTGAATACATAGAGGCCATTGTTAGGGTTATTAATTGGCCTAATTTCAATATTGTGTCTCAGGGAATAGGGAGGTATGAAGAGCGGGAGAGAGATGGAGGCATGGATGGTCAATGGACTGGTCAGAACACAGACATTTCCTGATTAAGCTCACCATCTTATATGGGTGCAGTTCGTGGTGCCCCAAAACACAACAGTAACATCAAAGATCACTGATCACAGATCACTGCAACAAACATAATAATGAAGTTTGAAATACTACAAGAATTACCACAGTATGACAGAGACGCAAAGTGAGCAAATGCTATTGGAAAAATGGTGCCAAGAGACTTGTGTGACACAGGGTTGCCATAAACCTTCAATTTGTAAAAACACATTATCTGTGAAGCACAATAAAATGAGGTATGTCCATACTATATACAGATGCCTTAGCTGTATATTTGAAAGCCACTACAAGAGTAGGTCTTACACATTCTCATTACAAGAAAGAAAAGTTCTACATGTAAGGTGATGGTTCTTTTACTGTGGTGATCATTTTTCAATATATACAAATGTTATATAGCATGCTTCCTATTAGCAAAAAAATTTTTGTTGTTAACAAATTCATATTAGATGCCTTAAGAAGTTACATTACCTTCGAAAAGTAAGCAGTGCAACAACAGAAATCTCTTCCTGAAAGGGATTTTAACTAATTAAGAAAATGCAAAAATGTTAGGATTTCCACAAAGAAATATTTATTTTTTCTTTAGAATTTGGCTCAGAACAGTAACATAAAAATATTTACATTAAAATAAATATGTGATTATTTAACTATATGTAATAATTATTGTTGGAATATATTAGCCTTTCCATGAATTTAATAAAAACTAAGATTTGGTTTTAGATTTAGTACCATCCTTCCAAATATTTGGTATGAAACTTGGTAGCAATGCAACTCTCTGGCGTCCAGAGCAGTGACAGATGTCGCCAAGGAACCGATGCCGCCTCCCCCCGGACGTTGATGGCCAAGCAGACCAGCTTCCTTCCTAGGAATCACTGTGGAATTTTTCAACAATAACCAGGACCTGGAGGTTATTTCAGGGCTGGTGGAATTCTAGGAATCAGCCAACCTATCTTTTCACATGAACCCACCAGGAAGGAAGTGGTTCAAATGCAATATTGATTCTTTCACTTTATTTTGTATGCTAACACCGAAACAATGCAAACCTTCAGGTTTTCCTAAAATAAAAATCTGAAAAACATGCATATGCTTGTTTAGATCATCTAAAAGTACCCATAAAAACCTGTCACTAGACCAAATACTGTATTGGCAGAATGTCCACAGAATAGAGGAATATTTGATTAAATTTATCATTGAGGGACAGCATCAAAGACAAAGTGAGTCAGTCTTATTAAAGTTGTTGGTAGCATGAAGTAAATTAGGATATATTCACATTTTGCAAGTTTTTTTATCTGAGAGGTTGTATGGCGTAGCAGAAAAGCACAGAGGGACCTGGGATCAAACTCTGTTTCTGAGACTCACTAGCCACATGGCTTTAGGTCCATCACTTCAGCACACCAAGACTTAGTTTGGGGTCGTATAAAATGGAAATGAGGACACTTACCTCCCAGGTTGTGTGAATTTAGAATAATTTATATGAAGCACCTAGTTCAGAGCCTGGCATACAGTAGGTACTTAATAAATGGGTATTAGCATTTCTTCTAGGTTAAAATTGATAGCAAGAATCTTGGCCTTTGTATCTTGACACCAATGAAAGCACAGAATCTTATTGAGCCCGAATCCAGAGTCACAGATCCGGGCTCCGCAAACACTGCCTTAACAGATACTCCAGAGTCCTACTCAACATCAGCATGAAAAGTTACTGAAGGGAGAGGTGTCTGTCAGCAGCAAGGATCCTTTGGGGATGGTTAATCTCCTTTCAGAGGCTGTAAGTCCTAGTGGCTTCTCAGCTGTCCTTAAGAAGATAAGGACAAGGTCAGCAGGGCCACTGTCATTCAAATCCCTAAAGTTGCTCAAGATTCTGCAAGAGTAATAAATAACATTGTTACGCAAACAACATTTGGGGGTGACAGAGGTGTCCAATGTCTTGACTGCGGTGATGGTCTCACAGATGTATACATGTCAAAGCTTATCAAATTGTACACTTTTTAAAAATACCCCAGTAAAGCTGTTTTTAAAAAAAGTTTACTTAAGCCTTTCACAGTGAGATTTCCTTCTGTCTCCTGACCGGATCCCTTTCTGCAATCTGAGTTTAGGGTGAGAGGAGGAAGGATGAGTGATTTACACTCCAGTCTCGAGGCCCCGCCTCAGACAAGGCCTGCAGGTCTACGTGGTCCATCTAGTAAGCAGAGCCCTGAGGCATCCTTGTCTACGATCACAGCTCCTTTGGCACAGAAGATTGTGACTGGTACTTACAGGGTTTGAGCTGAAATGACCCCAGAAAGAGCAGCATCTACAAAAGTGAGGGTTGGGAAAGGTGACTTCGGAAGAGGAGACTAAAAGCAAAAATTTAACTGCCGAAGTCACCTGCCAAATACCAAATTTAAATACCAAAACTGCTTTTTAAGAAACGCTCGTCTAAAAGACAACCTGATTCCACAAAGAAGCTCTGAGTCTCGGTCCAGGTCCGCTCCCCAGAGGCCTAGCAGATCCTGCGAGTTGTGTAGTCCAGAACCATGCTTGCGGCGCCGAGCAGGGCAGGATCCACCAAATCCGAAACCACCACGTCCACATCCTGAACCGAGGACAAGGCTTGCTGGCGGATGACGTCTTTGACGATGTGGATGTAGTGACTGGCTAGGACTCCAGAGAGGATCACGAGGGAAGGATTTATGGTGTGGAGGATGTTCACAACCCCAAGACCCAAAGCCGTTCCAGCTACAAGAAAACAAAAAAGTAAATCAAATCAAAAACGTCAGAGGGGGCGCCTGAGTGGCTCAGTAGGTGAAGCGTCTGCCTTTGGCTCTGATCATGATCTCAGGGTCCGATGGGATTGAGCCAGTGCTGGGCTCTTTGCTCAGCGGAGAGTCTGCTTCTCCCTCTGCCCCGCCCCCTACCTGTACTCTCTCTCTCTCTCTCTCTCAACTAAAGTCTTTAAAAAAACAAAACAACATGGGGCGCCTGGGTGGCTCAGTCGTTAAGCGTCTGCCTTCGGCTCAGGTCATGATCCCAGGATCCTGGGATCAAGCCCCGCATCGGGCTCCCTGCTCAGCGGGAAGCCTGCTTCTCCCTCTCCCCCTGCTTGTGTTCCCTCTCTCGCTGTCTCTCTGTGTCAAATAAATAAAATCTTTAAAAAAAATAAAAAATAAAACAAAACAACAACAACAAAAATGCCAGAGGATGGTGGAAAGAGTCAGCAGCCCAGAATACTTAGTACATTCACACTACATAACAGAAAGCAGTACTTGTAAAGCTATTCGTGATTTATTCTTGATATGAGAAAATGATGTTATGCTTTGAAATAAAAAAAGCTAGGTATACTATATACTGTACCATATGATGTCAACTATGTAAAAAAAAAAAAATAGGAAAGACTGGAAGCAGATGTTAATAGTTCATCTCTGAGTGGTAAAACCTGAAGTGAAACTTTTTCTTACTCTCCTCTATTTCTCTAGATTTCCTGTAAGACGAACAAGTAGTTTATCCATAGTTGTAAAACAAAACAAAAAACCTGTTTAATAGAGGCAATGCTGCCAAATACCTTGAATGCCACTCCCTTTCTCTCTCTCAGAAAGCAGGAAAAACACCTCTGACCACACATTCCAGGGCGCTAATCCTGAGGGAAGCTGGTTATGTGCGGGAGCCCTGGGCAGTCTGAGGGCCCCCCACGGCAGAGCTGCCCGGAGCCACACGCTCACCTGTTCTCAAGATGCTCTGGGCCTTCGTGTTGCCAAGTTTCGCAGCTTGGATGAGATGGACCGCGCTCACGGCCTCGTCTTTCAGCACTGACATCCCTTCCACCAAGAGCAGATCCTCTGTGTGAGCAGAGGGGAGAAGCAGCGGGCATTAGTGAGCCGTGGCAGCCCTGCAGGGGGCCCGGGCTTAGAAGTCTGCCTGTGGGCAGCGAGCCCCCAAGTAGAAAGACAGCGTGTTCTTTTCACATTGGCAGAGCTTTTTCTCATTCACAAATGTCCACATACATTGCTCCAGAGGCCACTGCTGCCCTCTTGCTGCCTTGCTTACACATCATCCAGAACTTTCCTAACCAGAAAATCCTCACCTCCGATCAGAGCCTCCCAGCCAGACCTCTAGCTTCCGACTTCTCACTTCACATGCAACAGAGACTCATCTATTTCTCTCCTTCCTTTATCCATCCCAGGTGCACGTCACTTGCAGGCCCCCCATCCTACGGCAGCTCCTAAAGCACTGACACAGACCGGGGTTCAGTCACCAGCTCAGCCACGACCAGCAGCACAACCACATCCAGGGCACATCCCTTCTACACCCTTTTCTTCTCTAGAAAATGGGGGTACCACCACGTACCCTAGCAGGATTATTTGAGGACTAAATGAGATCATGGACGTAAAGAACGTCATCAAATGCTGGCCAAGTCAATGTTCACTAAATAGTAAGCAGTTCTATTATCTGTAGTGCTTGTCTTTTCTGCCCCTCACTCTGCCCGTCATCAACCCAGGTCCATATCCTCCTCATCTGCTATCATACTTGGGCTCTGATGAGAGCAAATCCCAACCATGCAGGCTGCTACCTAGCCCCGGCCCAGGGATCTCCTCACAGCTGCCCACCAGTCTCTCCCATTCCCCCGCATGGCTCTTCTCAGCTCCCACCACCTCAAACCTTCTACCCCACCCCCACTACCATAAGACCTCCGGACTGCTGACCTCTCTGATAAAGGACCCCACGAGGCAGGGGTTCCCTTACTTTCCTGTCCCCGCCTAAAAACATGTCTGTATTTGCACACCTTCACTCCTTCTCTCCCTCTCTCAGGCCCTCTACCCAGCCTTGCAGCTCATCTCCTCCCCGCTCCTCAAGGGCCTTACAGTGGGGACTCAACTGCCCCTTCTCTTCTGCATTCTCAATCTTCGCTTCCATCCCCACTGTCTTTCCACCGACAGATGCTCACAATCTCCCTGTCCTCAAAGCACTTCTTCCCTCTTACTCAGAGTAGTCAGGCTTATTTGAGTGCGCTCTTTCTTAAGACACGCATTTGCCCCCAGGGAGACAAAAACTGTTGAGGGGGGAAAAAAAAAAAAAGCTTACTCTTTTTATACAAATAGTACATAAACACAAACAGATAAACAGATCTGTGGTTGTGAAGTATCAGGTGTGGAGGCAATGATTAGGAAAAAAATGTCCAAACAGGCCCCTAAGGGAGGCTAATGATAAAAAAGAAGTTGAAAAACAAAGTTTTCAGGGTTTCAAATCATGTCCTCATGGCCAAAGCCAATGAGCTCTTCTGATTTTCTCTTACTCATAAGCAGCACTTGACATTCCCAGTGTGATTCCTTGAGACACTCCCTCTGGCTTCTGTGACTTTACCCTTTCTTGGTTTTCCTTTCTGCCCATTAAATGCTGTTTTGCAGAATTCCACCCCTGACTCTTGCCTCACTCCAAACCTCATTCAGACATTTAACTGGCACCTCAGCACTGATGATTCCCAAATCCCCACCCTCTAGCCCAGTACTCTCTCCTGAGCGCGAGACCCCCGTAGCCAGCTGCCGCCTGCACATCTCCAGCCCACATCCCGCAGGCGGGACCCCCCACCCCCACATCCCTTTCCGCCGCAGCCGGCTCCGAGGAGAAAACCGAAGTCACTCTTAAAACTGTACCGTTTAAAGCTACTCCATTCGACTACTATTTTTCTCCCAGAAAACAAAAAGTTACAGTTTAGTGAAGAGTCTCAAATTCAGACCTGACCATGTTTTTCCCCCAGAAGTTCTCAATGGCTTCTCCATTAGGTGCTGGTCTTGGCCTACCTCTTGCTACGCTCAACCCTACCCTGCCCTTTATGCACCCACAGGACTGTTTCCCAGGCTTGAAAGCATCCCTGGCTCATCCCAACTTGCCCTGCTAATTCTGTTTACCCTCTCTCAACCCCCAGACAGCACCTTAACACTCCCTTCCCCCCATGAAGAGGGCAGGGAGGGAACTCTGGTGTCCTATGCATCTACATCCCCTGGCCATCAGTCTCAGGGCACCTGACACTGTATTATAATGATAGTAAATGACTCCCTCTTGCATTAGACTAGAAACCATCCTGACTTTTATAACATGTCCAGAAATAGCTTTAATTCAAATAGACTCAGAGTTCACAACTGTAGTATGTTAATCCATTTACTTCTTCAGCTAGGGGCTGAGGAAACAATCAAATCTTCCCCGCTATCCTGCAGCTCAAGACCCTTGTCCATCCCCACCACTGGGAAGTGTTAATATGGGTCAGGACTAAGGGGATTTCGGAGCTTTGGTATAAGGAAGCCCCGCCTTTCCTCCAGGAAGTGAGAAGGGTAAAAGTTCTGGCTTCAGTGTCCAACTCTTTTTGGAATACCTACTTTGAAATACTTGTCTACCATATAGCTATTTAATTCCTCAGGTGAAAGAAACCAACCATCATGTAGCTTTTTTGCTTCCCTCTGCAAGGCCATTCCAGAGGCGTATGCTTCAATACATCCGTGACTTCCACAGGAACAATCAGGCCCATCCAGAGACACAACAAGATGGCCAAGTTCTGCAGCACAGAAGGAGCTTCCGTGGATCAGCTCGTGCTGATGGATGATCCCCCCGCCAATTCCTACAGTGAGAGAACAATCACTGAGGTGGCTCTTCAACTGAAACAGGAAGCTGTGATATAGCAACTCCTCGTCTGTTTAGCAAAGCTTTGGAATGTGAGGTTCTTTATGATGCCTTCTCTCCTAAGGAGCTGGAACTTACTAAGTACCGACACTTTACCTGGAAGCATTTTGGAGGGAAATATTTCAAGCAGATCCCTAACCTTAACCCTAATGTTGCAACCCTGTGTTGCATCTACTTGGCTCACTGTGATTTCAACCACAGCTGCGGGGACTAGATCCACACAGGCTCGGACTCACTGTGTGCTGACAGTATACCACCTCAAGCTCAGATGGCCTGTCTCCTCACCGAGGCCATCTCCAACATTAAAGTAAGAATCTCGTCATCCACAAGAGCACAGGGCATCCTCAACCAAGCATGGCAAGAGCCAGGAGATTCCAGTGGACAATTCTGGATGGTCTGCAGACTTCTTGGCAGGTTCTGGTAGATTTCAGCCCCCACTGCACTCAAGGCAACTTGGATAATGGCTTTCCACCTACTCTGTTCTACTCTTCTCACTCCTTCACTCTTGCTTCTCAGGAACACCTCCGACATAAAATAACCTAAGTCCTCATCCTGGGCTCCGGTGTAGGGGAAACTCAAGGGAAGACCATCTTTCCAAAATATATCAGACACCACTCTCTTTCTTAAACAGAGCATACAAAATATGATTTTGCCTCTTCTTAATGCCACCATGTCTAAAACTCTGTGACTCAGTCATTATGAGTATCAATGACTCTTGTTTTGTGGCGTTTAGGAGTCATTAAGGAGGAAAGCCTGAGAAAGCTCTGCTTTTTAGACTTATCCTGCCATCAATTACTTCCTGTGGCACCTACTCTTCAACTCCACCCCTCTAATTTGCAAACTATCCGCTCTGACAGGAAATCTAGGAAATGATCTCCAAGCTTGCTAAAACTGTGTCTGAGACTAAGAGAAGAAGGGCCTGAGCTTCCAGAGGAGGTAGCATCATGTAGAGTTCAAGAGCACACAAGTTTTGAGGTTAGACCTATCTGGGATCAAACGGTGGCTCAACCACCTACTAGCGGAGTCTGTTTCCTCATTCCAAAAACAAACTAGAACATCAGCAAAAATGGCAGAGTAGGCAACTCCAAAAGTCCATCCCTTCACTAAAGCAATGAATAAACTGGCAAAAACTGTCAGAACCAATTTTTTTGGAGCTCTGGAAACTAACAAGTTTGTAACAACCAGGGGAATGCTTAATCAAGAAAAAAAAAACAACAGCTGAATTTTAATGAGAGCGCTTTCTGGCATTTTCTGGTCCCACCACCCCCTCCCCAGCTTGGTGGCCTTGAACCAGCCCACATTCTCAGCAAAGATGGCAGTACTGGAGGGAGCAAGACTATTTTCAAAAAACTGTGGTGGTTTGTTTTGACCTATTTGGCAGCTCCCACCTCAAAAAGCTTGTTATGGCACCTACTTCAGAACTTGAGGGGGCTACCCAGGGGGTGTTTGTCAAAGACATTTAAAGGAAAAATATATTTATTAGTCTCCGCTGTCCAGGACAACATCTGATAGTTGAGGCAAATATTATACTAACCAAAAAGACTGGGAGAAGCTGGGAATGAGTAGCTTTGGGGAGTAAGCGCTTTGAATAGCTCTGACAAGTTCCTGGGAGTCTGAGGTCCACATGCATGCCCAGGGCGGGGCACATGCTCAGGAAAGCCTAGGAAGGCCCTATGCACTCACACGGGGCTCACCTTCTGGCTCTACTCAAGCAGGAAGTGAAGACTAAAGCAGACTTACAAGCTGCCTGGATGATGCTGAGGGCATGCCCCGACACACAGTCTAGCTCCCGGAGCCACCTGCCCTCACTTCTCTCACCTGTGCCTGTGGTAAGTGTCACAAAGTTTTCCAGGCCCTTTCCTTGGCCAAATTTCCTTTCCGCCAGGGCAGCACAATTGCCATCATTGTCCACCCACACGGGGAGATGCAGGGTGTCAGAGAGGGGGGTCCTGAGGTCCACGGAGTTCCATTCTTGAATCAGTTTGGTTGAGTGCAGCACAATTCCTTCCCGAGGATTTACACGGCCACCCGTAGAAATACCTGAGCTCCACCACACACAAAAGGAAAATAATTCTCTTAAGCCATTTTAGAAAAGTGTGCCAAATTCCTGGGTTTCAAGCACAAATTAATTCACCCAAGATCTCCTAAGACAAATATTACCAAAGACTGCAAGGAAATGTCAGGCAATTCTGAGCTAAATCTGTAGCTCCCCACCAATGTACCTATAATGATTACTGGTGTTCCAGAAAGTCCCCATGCTTGGGGCCCAGAGACAGGACCTGGAGCCACATACACAGGGCAGTGACCTGACGGTCAGTCATGCATCAGAACTCAGTAAACTCTGTATATCAAAATGAACATTTCTTGAATATGCAATTCACAATCTCACCTACTCCCAAAATTCTGCAGTTCAGTTTTACAGCTTCTGCTGCAGCTTCTACACACATCTGTAGGATTAAATTAATCCTCTCTTCATAGGTTTTAGGATTGAACTGAGTATACTTCTTAACAATTTCACCCTAAAAGAGAAAAAAAACAAACCTATCTCATTGATCTTACCTAAGGAGCATCCTGTGAATCTTCCGACCTTTTTCATGCTAAATCAGACTTCGCCATAGGACAGAGAGTCCTGTAGATTTAGATGAGTGCTCGGGAGGGAGCCAGTCTGGTACAGGCCAGCCCTGAGGTGCGCCCAAGCCGTCTCCTGGGAGCCATCCTGAAGCAGTGGCGGCTCCACAGCAAACCACGGGCCCTCTTCCGGCGCCAAGTGAATGCTAGCTAATCTCAATCTTCATGAGAAGGTCACAGTTTATTCTTTCAGGCTGACAAAATTTCCTTGCTTAAAAACTAAGGCAACTAAATAAATATCCTAAGGAGGTGAACCTTTAATCACCTCCCAGAACAGAAGCCAATAACAGCACAGTTCCATGATGTTTAAATTACCGCGCTTTGTGGGCAACCCTCTCGGGTCCCCTTCCTCTTCGGGAGCTTTGTACTATCACACTGCTATCGCTCAATAAACTTTGCTTTGCTGCCCCCCGAAAATAAATAAAATTACTGCACTTTGTGATACGTTTTAATACTAGTCAAAGAGAGTCTCTCCTAAATTTTTTTAAAATTTTCTTTGCTCTACTCACTTGTGCATTATTTTGAGTAAATTTCAGAACAGTGTTGTTAAACTTTAAAAAAAAATCCCATTAAAATGTGGACTAGAATTATGTTAAACTTGTAATTCAATTTGGAAAGTGCTGACATTTTAACAATATTCAGCACTCCCATCCAGGACATTTTTCAAGCCTTTACCTTATATGCTAAAGTTTTATAGCTTTCTTTATACAGGTTACATAGTTTTTTGGTTTAGATGATTCTTACAATTTTTCTGGTTGTTGTTCTGAATAGGTTCTTTTTCCATTCTTCTGTTACTAACGGATTTTATCCATTTACAACGGTTAGAGCTGTCACTAATGACTGTCATTAAAAAATAAACCTAGGGGCGCCTGCGTGGCTCAGTTGGTTAAAGGTCCAACTCTTGATCTTGGCTCGGGTCCTACTCTCACAGTCGTGAGTCTGAGCTCCACATTGGGCTCCATGCTGGGTTTGGAGCCTACTTAAACTAAACAAACAAACAAGAAAGCAAACCTAAACTTGTGCTTCTCAGACGTTCACTGTGCAGCAGAATCACCTGGGCTTTGAATAAATACTGATGCCGCCCAGAAATTCAAATTAGTCTTGGGGTGGGAGCCAGGTACCTATATATTTTTTAAAGCTTCCAGGTAATGCTAATGTGCAGTCAGGCTAACAAACACTCATTTACAAGAAAACTCAAAAATCTTTGCCTAAAATTTCATGCAAGTAGGAAGTCACTGGTATTTATGTATTTATCCTAACATCCATTTTACTCAGGTGTCTTATTAATTCTGCAAGCTTGTTTATTCATATTGTCATAATATTTTTTGTTTTACTCTGTGCACAATCCCCATTGTGCTGTTTGTTCCTTGCTTTTCTTCCCTTCCTAACTTCCAGAATTATGTGCAATAATGTTGCAGAAAACATGTTTCTTTTCTTCTTGATTTTAATAGGAATGTTTCTAGAATTTGACCACTACAAAGGGTTCTGGCTAGTGATCCAGAAAGACCATCTTTAGGTTAAGAAAATCTTCTCTTAATGCTTTTTAAAGAGTATTTACAAAGGAGACCATTGGCTCCTTCTGAGAAAATTATGTTTTGTTTTGCTTTGCTTTATTTGACCTAAACAACTTTATTTTTTAAATCCTTGCCATTTCTCATGGACTCCTAAAATTTTATATACTAAAATATTTCAAAGGTTTTTCTGGTAGGTTTATTCTTAAGTCATCAGAGATCATTTTAACATGAATAATTTATGTTTTTACGAAGGCTCTCTCAGTTTCTGTCAACACTGTGTTGGTCTTTTGGTTAAGGGATTGAAGGTATGCTATACTCAACTAAAATCATGTTCTATCTAGAGAAGATGCAATTCCCTTCACCATTTGCTGATACCCTCCCCTGGGTAGGGACAGTAATCAGCATGCTCCATGCTTTACCAAGTATAGAATTCCAGGTCTCCTGAATGGCAAGAGCCCTCTCTGGTGCATAAGGGGTCTTCCACTGTCAACTGAAGTCTACTAACTTGGATTCCCAGAGAATTTTACTTCTTTCAAATGTTAATGCTTAGTAAAACAGTGAGGCAAACATTGTAATGGATCCAAAAGTCAATACCGTGGGCAAATGATTACAAGCTCTAATGTATGTTTCTAGTCCTACCTTCCAACCATACTTAAAAAAAAAAAAATCAATTATTTATATAAGATATGAAGTTAAGACTTGGGAATTGTTTTACCTTCATGCTGACTATTGCAACTCGGAGGTTTGTCCCGCCGAGATCAACAGCCAAGGCACTTAGAGTTTCAAGAATATGGTCAATATCTTGAGAGATATTCTCCTTCACAGGAGGAAAGCAGAATTTCTTTTGTAATGGCTCTTGAAGATCAATAGATTTAAGAAACTTCAAAATCCTTGGAACAGCATTTCCATCCCCATAGATCTTTGAACTGCAATATCAAAAAACTCAATTAAATTAAATGCTTCTCTCATACATGTTACATGATATGTAGGACATGGTAAAATAGAAACCGAGACTTCAGGTAATAAAGTTGTGCTTCTTCATTTTAAAATAACAACATCTGATATCTCCAGCAACACAGTAAGTACATGCACATTACTAACGGAAGGTCTAATTCTACTGCTGATTGAAATACAGCTATTTTCAGCCTGAGATACCATTAGCAAATGCCTCTATCATCAAAGACAAATTATCTTTGTTAAGCCAATTTCAGAATATAACATAGTTTGGGAAAACAAATTTATGTACTTACTGCTTTTTTAATCTTTACATTCATGGGGAAAAATAGTTATTTTCAGAACTCAAACATTTCAAACATTCAAATATAGGAAAATCTCATTAATTTGAAATAGAAAGGAGAGCAGTCTAAACTACAATGCTGAACTAGACTATTTTTAAATAAAATCAGTTATTTTCTAAGATTTACAAAAAGTCAAAGTAGGCTAAAGACGTATTTCCTGGCAGAAGTGCTATATTAATTAACTGAGACAAATAAAAGAAGTTATCCTCCATTTGAACCCTTGGTAGAAAAATAGGGGTTATATTAGCAAGTCCTGTCTCACTAGCAGCTAGGGGACCCCTAGGGATGCAGAATGAAAACTCCGTTAAAATGAACTGAAGAATGGTCACAGCTTAAAAATGATACCCGAGGCAGCTCCCCTTTGAAATCACTAAAAAGGGTATATATACTCACCAAGGGTACTGTTTACCAAACTGAAGGTGCAATGCTTGCAGTATTTTGTCTTGGGTATCAGCATCCCGGACATGAAGGACATTCTCCCCTAGGTGAACCCAGTGACACAATGATTTGGAAGTGGAAATGTCCAAAGAATAAAGAAATTAGCAATGTGCTGTGTTGTGCTCAAAATTAACCCTGAAACCCAGAGAACTTCAAATGAGTCTTCTATTAGAGCAGCATCAACTTTTCTCCTTTATACCTTTTAAAGCACTCTCAGCAAGATTTCCATGAATCAAATACTTAAGAACACTAGGGTCCTTTATTCCCAAAGAGAATAAATCAAGTTCTTGTTGGGGTGCCTGGGTGGCTCAGTCGTTAAGTGTCTGCCTTCGGCTCAGGTCATGATCCCAGGGTCCTGGGATC